TTTAAAAAGATTCCCAGGTGATTCTAATGTGCAGCCAAGGTTGAGAACCACTTTACTAGTATATTAGGAAAGTTGGTTTCTCTTTCTCAGTAAAAGGTTTTGAGTCAGAATTTTTATGAGTAACCTTCGAAATTATGTGGTCTGACTTTCTCACTTTATAAATGAAGCAATTTAGACCCAGAGAAATAAACTAAGATCACAGAACTGATTATTGGTAGGGGAATCTTGTGATTCTTAGTCTTTTTTTCACCTTGCTTCCTATTTATCCCTCTAGACTTATTATCCCTTGATATCCCTGCATTTTTTCCCCAACTCTAAAAAGTCACTGCTCCTTATTTTATTTGTGGTTTTCTTCCAGTTTTAATATAAATAAAATATCGAGTTTCTTTGGCAAGGTAGCATAAAAAACTTTTTTGGGAGAATATAGAGAATTGCCAAAAATAACAAGTAATAATGTTAAATGACTTGGTCATTTTAGTTACTAGAATCGAAATTGAGGCAAGAATAAAAGACACATTTGGTTATCAGAATGTGGCTTTGGAATATTATTTTGAAAAAGATTATGCTGAACCTAATAAGCCTTGGAGAATCAATAAATTTCCAACTTAATTTCTGCCTTCAACATTAAACAAGATGAATGTGATTCCTTTTAATGAACCGGCACTTACAGTTTGTAATGTTTATTTTGGCCGTGTGTTTGTTTCAGACAGAACCAAGTTGTATTATTGGACACACTGGAACAAGAGATTTCAAAATTTAAGGAATGTCATTCTGTGTTGGATATTAATGCTTTGGTAAGTATGATTTACTTGACATAGCTTAATAACATCTTTCTTGTTTTAGAAATAGGCTTGTCCTCCCAACTGTGTACATATGTATGTTTGGGATCTTTTCATCTACTTTTTTAAAGCGTAGAATTTGTCTTTTACTAGGAAAGTTTGATTTACTTTATGGAACTTCTGTTGTCTTGAATAGTTACCTTTCAAACATTGAATTTGTGTTAGGAAATAGAACTTATAAAGTCTGGAATAGATCTTTATTTTTATAAAAGAGAACTAAAAATAAGAAACTTTTGGGATACTATTTTTCCCCTTAGGAAAAGTGCACCTCTTTTTATCAGTTACCTGGTTTTTAAAATTTGTGCATCCCTTTTTATCAATTAAATGGTTTTAAAAATTCATATTTTATTTAATTGTATGGCCTTTTCATAATGTTATGACAAATTAACGCTAAAACGGACCCTTTGAAGTTCCTTTATGGACCCTTTAAAGCTTTCAATATAAATGACAATAGTTGAATTTCATCAGAAGTTCTATAGCTTTTAGATGAGAGGAACCGATACTCTACTAGTATTTTAAGAAACAAGAATTAACAAAAATAAGGAACTTAGGACTACCTTTCTCTTAGGCATAAACATTACAAATAGCTTGTTTTGCATGATTTTTATGAACTTTCACGCATACCTCAGTAAATGGATTTTTCACTGGACAAATATGGCTTATTAATGTTTTCCTTTTATAACAATCAAAAAGGAAGTCCATCTCCTCTAGCATTAGGCAGAGGCCTGTGGTAGTAAATACAAAGTTTTCTGCCTGTAGTTCCTGATATCTTGTGAAGGAGGCAGGCAAGGGGCAGAAACTAAGTCTTCCTCTTTTGTAGTTTCTCAGCACCATAGTGGTTCTGATTATCGTTTAGGAACTGAAAACTGGAAGGGAGAGAGAGAGAGAGAGAGAGGGAGAGAGAGAGAGAGAGAGAGACACTGACTGTAAGCTCTAGAGCTCACCAGACTATGACTTTATGTATAGCTGCATGAAGGTTGCTAGTGTCTCTACCGACACTTCTCTCAATCTTGTTACCTGGTTTTCTCTCTTACCTTGCCTGAGAGTGAGGTGCTGTTTTGCTTTTCTGGCATCTCTGGGTGAGATGGGAAAATCTACACCTGTAACTCCGTGGGAGGAAAAGTGTCCTTACGGAGGTGGTTCTGCTTGGTCTGGCTTCAGAAGCCAACGGGGCTCTCCAGACACAGTTTGCCTTTTCCTGATGGGCAGAGACTTAAATGGTCCTTTATCCTGGCTTGGTCTCTCTCTTGTAAAGGCAGTAGAGAGTTTTACTTTTCTCAGATGAAACTGATAGCATTATTGGGTAGTCTTACCGAAATTTTAGGATTATATTGCATGTTTTTAAAGCAAAAATGTATCTGTATACAAAATAAATGCCTATTTTATGGTCAGTAACTTTTTATCAATCTGAACTGAATCAAGTGTTTTCAAACTAATGGCTTAATAAAATTTAAATTTGGACTTAAATTGTGGAAATAATTAAGGCTTTAAAACATCTGACCAATTTAGGAAGAATGAAGTGTAATGCAGACATTGATTTATTTAACCATTTTGTTATTTCAGGCTACTTTAATTTGACTTTTTGTTTACTTTCCCTGTTAAGTTCACTGAAGCCAAACACTATCATGCCAAGTTGGTGAATATAAGGAAAGAAATGCTGATGCTTCATGAAAAGACATCGAAGTTAAAAGTGAGTTGGCAGGTTCTGTTATATTCTTTATAAAAGTAGAGGTGTAATTGTCTGTTCTTCAGTATTCATTTCTGACTTCTTATATATCCATATACAATAATATACTTAATTCCTGGTACACTTTTCTTTTTTTATTTTAAAACATCCTGTTGAACCCCACTCTGGGCTTTTTTACTTATAGCCGGGCTTGTAGGCTCCTATTCTCTGAATATGCCACTGCAATTCTCATTTAACGAAGTAACAATTATTTTTTTTGTTCCAAGGAGACCTTAAATTACCCACAATGAATTTATGTTAAATATGAAATTTATTAATATGTATTGATTACCTCAAACGAAAGCACTTTTACTTTTAAACTAGGCCATAGTCTATAAACCTTGATTGTTCTCTTGTTTTTTGAATTTTTGATATAGAAAAGAGCACTTAAACTGCAGCAGAAGAGGCAGAAAGAAGAGTTGGAAAGAGAGCAGCAACGAGAGAAGGAATTTGAAAGAGAAAAGCAGTTAACTGCCAAACCAGCGAAAAGGACATGAAAAGTTGAATGTGTTTGTGTGTTCTTCCCTCCCCTGTCCCACGTGCTTTGCATTTAAGAAGACTTAAGTGCAGACTGAAGTTAAGGTAGTGCCTTATACCATTGTGTCGTGTTTTGAAATCCTTTCCCCAGGAGTGCTGTCTCTATATGTTCATTTTAGCCATTTAAGAGCTTCTTTCTCCCAGCCCCCCCACATCCCCTCTCCCCCAAGTAAAAGACAGTGTCACTTGGTTGGATATTTATGGGTAATTTTTTAATTTCTGTTTTACTTAGTTTTAAAATTCATTATTTTGGCCTTGAATCATTTATGAACTGGAAAATGGTTTGATTGTTTTTTAAATAGATTTTAAGTGGTTAAAAATGAGTATGAGTGTTTTAGCTTCTTAATAACTGTGGAGTTAAGTTTCAGTTTCTTATTTTATGAAATGGCTTGTCTCTTTTGGAATACAGTGCTGGTTTTTGGCAGTTGCCTTTTCATTGCTTGGTTACAAAGAAATGCCAGCTGTTTAATCACATATGCTACTGGAAAGAGGTGATGTTATAAATCTTTGTGAAGAACATGATAGAAAAGTGTATACACAGTAAATAAGAGCATCTTAGACATAGGCGAGGGGAGCACAATGCCAGATAGATTCCACTCACCATGGGCTCTGTCTCCTTCCTAGCATTGTTGCCACTTAGTTCTTAGGTAGCTTCTGGTTCAGAGTAGATTGAATCTGCTCCTAAAGTTTGGCAGGGGTGGTGGTAGAGCTGTCACACACTCAGATATGCTTAAATATTTATTATACTTAGAGTTGCCACACACTGAGATGGTTGTCAAGCTGATACGATAGTGAGCTCAACTTTCCAAGTGGAAGGTCTAATCGCTAGTTCTATCTTCTGATTTGCTGTGTGGCTTTACATGTGGTTACTTTTTTTTTTTTTAATATATTTTATTGATTTTTACAGAGAGGAAGGGAGAGGAATAGAGAGTTAGAAACATCTATCAGCTGCCTCCTGCACACTCCCTACTGGGGATGTACCCGCAACCAAGGTACATGCCCTTGACCAGAATCGAACCTGGGACCCTTGAGTCCGAAGGCTTATCCACTGAGCCAAACCGGTTAGGGCTACATGTGGTTACTTTAAAAAAAAAAATGCTTAAAGTAGATTGATAGATACCAAGTATCTAGTTTTGTAGATAATGACAAGAATTGTGGAAAATTGGTAAATAGCTTCTTCACAAAAGAGGCAGCATGATACCATTAGCGTTTTCTAGATATCCTCCCCCCAATATTATAAGTAGAAACTTATGTGAGGAAAATGTGAAGTTTCATTGTTTTTAAAATTGAGAGTTTATTATTTACGGCTTTAGTATTCTTTAATGTCCAGCTGGTCTCCAGTTTTTTAAATAGAGACTGTACAGAATCTGTAAAGGTGTGTGATTAGAATGTATGTTTTTTTATAGTCTACATGACATTTTTGGTAAGCTGGAGTCAGTGTCTCTGATCACATATCAGGATACTTAATGATGGAGAAAGGCATTAGATTTAAGTTGTGTGCAAAAAACTGGTCTGTTTAAAGGTTTAAATAGTTTGAAAGACCTTTTCCTTCTTTAATGAATGAATTATGATCTCACAGTTCACTTGACTTTGACCTTATGTTTAAGAATACATTTTATTTTAAAAGACTACATGTTGCCCTCAAATACTGGCTAAAACTGCCTAGGGCAGGATTCAATAGTGCTTGCGTACAGTGTCACCTGCACGCTGAATGTACTCATTTATAATCTGACAAAGGCTGTGCATTGTTTCTCAGAGTGGTTTGTGGACCAGCTGCAACGATTATTTAGATGCTGGTTCCTGCACACCACTCCTAGTCTGCTGAAGCACATCTGTTTGTTTATGTTGCTTTTAAAAAAGAGTTTCCTCAAGTGATTCATGCATCTTAAAAGTGGAGAACCACTGGTCTAGTGGTCTAGGTCAGAGGTTCCCACGCTAGGCTGCATATTATTATCACCTGGGAACTTAAAAAAGCAGCACACCCAACATTCAGGAAGGTTCTTGCTCATTAGTTCTGAGGTGGGGCCCTGGCAAATTTTAAAGAGCTCCCCACATTGTTCTAGACTATTTTAGTGATTTATATTTATAAAGAGTGAAATAGTTTAAAAAGCCACCCAGTAACTTTTGGGATTAATCTTATGAAATAAATCTGAACTGCTGCTTTTGATATAAAGTCAGGTTTAAGACTGAAATTGATAGCAGGCAGGAAATAAAGAACTCTGGTAAATCAGTTGAACATTTGTGACCTGTATTAAAATAAATCATGTTTATTGAATGAATGGCAGGGCACATATGCTTTTAGAATTGTATTATTTAACTTTGGAGATTTTTAAAAATGCTATTTTTAGCCCTGGCACGTCCCATGCACAGAGAGGTCACTGGTTCCCATTCTGGTCAGGGCAGACGCCTGGGTTTTGGGCTTTATCTACAGTAGGGAGCATGCAGGAGGCAGCCGATTGATGTTTCTCTCTCTCTCTCCCTTCCTCTTAAAAAAAAATCAATAAAAGCTTATATATTTTTAAAAATGCTATTCTTTTTTAAAAAGAAATAGCCTCCACTATATGTAGGTCAATTGTAAATCTGAAGTAATTCCCTTGGTAATTAAATTAATTAAATTTAATTACCTTGGTAATTAAAATTGAAAACTTTAGCTGTATTTCAGTAATATAGAAACATATCTTACTAATCTTGGACAGAACCCTTATACTGTATTTTTGCACAAAATAATGAATTGGTACTTGGGTTGAAAAATAATTGCCTTTGTTGTGATACTATTTCCCATGTACTGAACTAAAATGGTGGGAGTTGACTGTGTGTTTACTGTTTAGGAGGTATCATGTAGATGTGCAGATGTAGAATGTAACAAGGATTGTATCCCTTGTGAGTTTTTGAGTTGATACAGTTTATAAATGTATCACTTACACACTCTCATGATTTGTCTGATTTTGACTTGTAAAATGAAGACTACTTTTTACACGTTTAATCTATGAATTATCCAAAGTCACGGTTCAGTTTCTGGTCAGGGCACATGCTTGGGTTGTGGGCTCAATCCCCAGAGTGGGGCATGCAGGATGCAGCCAATCAATGATTCTCTGTCATCATGGATATTTCTATCTCTCTCTCCCTCTTCCTCTCTGAAATCAATGAAAAAAAATATATATATTTATTGATTTCAGAGAGGAAGGGAGAGATAGAAACATAAATGATGGGAGAGAATCATTGATCTACCTCCTATACACCTCCTACAGGTGAACAAGCCTGCAACCCGGGCATGTGCCCTTGACTGGAATTGAACCCGGGACCCTTCAGTCTGCAGGCCAACGCTCTATCCAATGAGCCAAACCTGCCAGGGCTGAAAATATATTTTTTAAAAAGTTACTTAGTTTCTAGGTTTTCCATTTGGATAAGATAGTTTCTCTATTGTATATTTGTTCAAATATTTTTGTTCTGATTATTCAGATATTTAAGATTTGTTCTATTGTTTAGCTTATTCATACTGTTTTAGTTTTTTTGTATGTATAAGGCCATTAGAGTGAGACTAGGTTTATTTTCAAACCCATTAAGAGAGTGAGGGAAGTCGTCAAGGGAGACAGTTATGAATGACTAGTTTAAAAAAAGGGAAAAGCAGCCCTAGCCCGTTTGGCTCAGTGGCTAGATTGTTGGCCTGCGGACTGAAGGGTCCAGGGTTCTATTCCAGTCAAGGGCACATACCTCAGTTGCAGGCTCCTCCCTGACCCAGGTTGGGGCGTGTGCAGGAGGTAACCAATTGATGTGTTTCTCTCACATTGATATTTCTCTCTGTCTTTCTCTCTCTCGTCCACTCTCTCTAAAATTCAATGGAAAAAATCCTCAGTTGTTGGATGTTATATCACAGTATCTTAAAATCACATCCACATGGGGGGGAGGTACTTACTGTGCCCCTTTGTGCATGAGTATTTTTTCTCCTAGGGCTTCCACTGCTCAGGACCCGTCATCCTGTAATGTCTGCCTGTTGGACACCTATTCATTGTTTGCAACTCAGTTGTCACTTCTTTATAGTTTTCCAAACCACCTCCCAAAGTTCTTTTTTCTTGTGTCCTCATGGTACTTAATATTACATTTGCCTTAGCATTTAAGATGAAGTGTATTTATTAATCATCTTATGGTTCCATAATGCAGTAGTGCCCACCCAGCCTATTGTTGGTGTATTAATCAAGGTTCTCCAGAGAAGCAGAACTAACAGTGTGTGTGTGTGTGTGTGTGTGTGTGAGCGAGAGAGAGAGAGAGAGATATTGATCAAGCAGTTGGCTCACATGATTGTGGGGCTGACAATTCCAAAATCATCAGGACAGCTTGGATCCCCAGGGAAGAGTCAAAGGCAGTCTGCGGGCAGAATTCCTTCTTCCTCAGGGGACCTCCGTCTTTTTTTTTTTTTAAGGCTTTCATTTGTCTTTTTCTTTTAAGGCTTTCATTTGGTTGGTCAGGGTCCATCCATATTATGGAGGGTAATCTTTACTGAAAGTCTACTGGTTTAAATGTTAGTCTCATCTAAAAAAAAAAGTCTAGAGTGGTATTTGACCAAATATATAGGTACCATGGCCTAGCCAGGTTGTCACATAAAATTAACCATCACAGTTGAGATCAAATTGAATCTAGTAGGAGAGACATATACAGATATTAAAAATAGTTAAAATAAAAAAACTAGAAGAATGGGACTGAGAAACTAAGATGGCGGCAGAGATAAACACCGGGAAATTAATGCCGCGCACAACAATTGATTAATACCTCAGAGAAACAATACGGACTTCATCCAGAACCATAGGAAGCCTGGCTGACTGTAAACTCTACAACTAGAAGGAAGGAGAGGCACACTGAGACCCAGAGAAGCTGCAGGAGAGAAGCGCAGAGGTACGGGGCTCGCGCGCGCGGAAAGGGGCTGGCACCCGAGGACGCGGCGGTCTTTTGGAATCCGGAGGGAGTCTCAAGCTCCCGAGGGCTCTGAACTCCAATCTCCAGTTTCAGGCGAGTCTCTGGGGACCCAGACTCATATGGGGGGAAACTGGACTGTCTGGCACCCGTTGGAATGCGAGGGCGGCTTTCTCTCAGAGGTGCTGGCAGTGATTACCGGGACACTGAAACTTGGGGCCTCTTAGCGTAGGACTGAGGATCAGCCATTGCTGT